AAGTCCTTGGCAGGTGGTGGATTGGAAAGTTGTATAGCACTGCAGAAATGAAGAGACAGGAAAGGATAAAAGATATGCATTGTAAGGTGGGAAAGCCTTGGGCAAAGGAAGGGCATTGCAGCAGTGTGTAGGAAGGAATCTGCTCAGAATGTAATCTTGGAATTTCACAGAGCTTTAGAGACCAAGGCAGAAAAGCGTTAAGCACTGGTGGAAGAAGATACAGACTCAATCAGGGGATTTAGGAAATGAGGAAAATTACAGTGTAACTGGAGAGACCTCTACTTTTCATGGGTGTGTCTGTCACAAATAGGAAATCAGGCAGTTTCTATTTGGCTTAGGAAAGGTTTTTTTGGTTAGAAAAAATACCTGTAAGATGACAATTTGGTATTTATGTGCAGGTATCCAAATATAATATTATTTACAGTAAGAAACAGATTAAATTGGTCCTGTTATTTTCTAAACATCTGCAGCCCTTTTTGGTCAGCTTTTGTTTCTGGAGTAAATAGCTTTCTGGTGCTTTACTATCTTTATCTAGATGGTTTAAGACATTTTTAGCTGTAGAAATGACGACTTTGGAAAATGAAAAACTCTGAATGCTCTGAAGCTAAAATTATGCCATTGTCACATTACATATTCACAAGTTACTTTCTTGAAGCCTCTTTGTACTTCTGTTGTAGTTCTCTCACCAATAAACAAAGTCTCAGTTTAAGGAACAGTTAACTTGTTCCAGTACTGGTGTTTCTCCGACTATGGCTATTCTGTTCCTATCAAAACCCCTTGTCTCCAGGGTCCACACCAGTACTTCAGGTCTTCCATTTTGTTGGCTAGGTTTCTTCTGTCAGTTTTCAAAAATTGAAGTTAAGTCAGAAGAGGAAAGCTTCTTAAGATGTGCAGTTTACTTGTTAACTGTAGTACCTGACAGCTGGTGTCACTGATACTTAGCACTTCATGTCTGCCTTTCTGCTTTCTCATACTCATCTGTCCAGTACTGTACTACTACCCCCAGATCTGTTCCTTCCTCCAGAAGTGGAGGCTGCACAAATTACTTCCCATTTTCTCTCTTTCAGTTAAAGCTCTTGGTGCAAACACTACTGCCAGGACATAATATCATCAAGAATACTCCATGAATACCTCTGATGGGAAAATATCTCCATGGGCTGTTTATAGGAAGTTTTATACACATCTCCATCTGCACAGTTTTGTCATACCTTTGATATCCTTTCCCTGGGACTAAATTCCAGTGAATCCCCCAAACTTCTGCTTCTGTGTTATCTCAGAACACATTTGTTAGCAGGAATACGGTGTAGCATTAGTCCTAACAGAGAGGGCAACTCCATTGCTACTACAGAATCCTTACTACCTGGAGGGCAGCCAGTCCCTTGCCAAAATCCAGTACTCCTCTTCTACTTAGGACAGTCTCATTTAATTTGCTCGTGACTTTTTGCTTCACTTACTCCTAGCTCTGTAACAAACATGGCTCTCAGTCTATTTTTCCCTGACAGCTACTAAAAGCACCTACATCTTGCATTCTCCTAGCTACATTGATAAATATGAAATGGAAAACTCCTTTCCAGGGGCAGTGCTGAGGCTTTTCTTGAGATTGAGTAGTCCTCTCAGCATCCTTTCCACCACAGATTTCTGCTTCCAACAGTATCAATGTTTAAGCAATCAATTTTATGAGTTCTACCAGACAGGATTTTATTTAAACAGTATGTTCTTGAAAGGAAGAACAGATTCTGTAACATCAATCTGCTTCAACCATCAGCACTCACTTCAGATGTCTTCAATATTCATAGTGATTTGGGATAAACTGCCCAATAAATAATTACTCTGGCCTGCAGCCTGCTCCTTGTTGTGCTGCCCCTTTCCCACTATTTCTGGGAGTAGTTTTGGCAGTTAGCCACTTCCAGGTCTATGATGTTGCCATTAGGTTACTTACATTTCTGGGGAAATGTAGTGTGTGGTACCTACAACCAGAGCCACTTAATGAGCCATAATCCCCAGTCCTAGACTAAACTGATGAGCATTAAGGGGAAAAAAAAAAATAAATTTTTTCCTGTGATGGCACAACCCACAGCTCTGCTGCATTTTCCTCCAAGAATTTCTCAGACTCTGGCCAGGAATATTTACCAACAATCCCCTATTTGTTTCTAGCTTGTGGCCTCCCCACAACCTCAATCAGACCTGCTGAGCATGCACAATGCATCTTTCCCAACAATACAGAAACTCAAAATATGGCCTTTACTCACTGTGGAAAGGCAGCATAGCCCTCTTCTTTACAAAAACTGAGTCACAGACCATACAGGCACAGTGATTCAAAGCCTATGAAATACACAGTTTCAGCTGCTTGACCATTTCTATTGTTGATAAAAAAAGCTAGCCACACACCATGCCCAGATGATTCTCTTTGACTGACAGGGTGTCTATTTTCATTTGAAAGCCATCAGGTTCTACACAAAGTTCCCTGGAAAAGCCAACTGTTCTCTCCCAAGACCACCAAAACGAGGGAGCTTCATCTCTGGACTACATCATCATAGGGTCTATCTCCCAGGACTCAAGCTGTATGGCAAGAGCTTATAATTGGTAATTTATATATCTTTATTTTTCCCTGGAGCTGTTCCCTTGCACACCAAATATTCACAAGTGATAGTTAAGATTTTTTAACTGGGTTATTGATAGGTGAGGGTATTTTAATATAATTCTGGAGATACTTAAAAACTTGGAATCAAAGATCAGTTCTTCTAATTACAGTTTCTTTTTGCAAATGTTTTAATGAAGAGTCTTACTACAAACACTATGATATACCCAGCAATTGCTTGCTTTGAAAAAAATGTGTAGTTCATAGAAATTGATAGGTAATAAAGATAACTTTCAGTCATTCCTGC